GTCATTCAACACAAGGTATACTACAATCAGTCATCCAGGCGCGACTTAGGCGTGCGCCCACCAGCGTTTTTACTGCCTAACTCCCCTATCATCACCTTTAACTTCGCACTTCCCACATTTATTTGCATTCTTTGCGCTTTTGCTTACCATGTCAATTTTGTTCCTGCGTGCCCTGATGTGCACTATTCTCCTTGACCTATGCGCCTATTGCGCCTTGATATACCACCCTTACAGCCCATTTGCGCAACATTTGCACCTAATTCAACACTATATACATCTCTCGCTAACATGTTTGCAGGAAAATGGCCGTTCCTCACGTGTTCGGCCAATATAATCAAATTCGCACGAAATCACCCCAAGGCACGCACATCGTGCGCATCCTATCAGCTTGTAGAGCGCCTCTACACACCTTGCAGCGCCTCGCATTGGCGCGCCTTCAACCTGCAGCACATTGTGCAGGAATTCATTCTGCCAGTTACAAGCCCCCCCAAGCGCGCCAGCCTTGCGCATTCCAACCATACCTTGGGTAAAGTGTCAGCTCACAAGAGATGCAAAGTGTGCTAGTCACGCGCACTCGCACATGCTCAAGGAGGAGGATTGCGCACTTCAGCCGCGCATCAAGAAAAACACAGCAACACTGTTTCATAGGATACCATTTGTTTTACCCTGGGTTTTGTCCAGCACTCTTTCATTCTCATTTTTTCTCATTATAACACTGTCCAAAAGACTAATAACACACTGATATATATGCATATAGGAAGCACCTAGAAGAACATAGAAGAAAAACAACAAAACAACCTTAGATTGTGCCCGCCTAGCTCAATAGTATTATTTTTCTCTTCGCATGCATGACGCGGCACCATGCCCTTTTTACCTTAGAACACGCGCATATGCGCACAATATTCCCACGCCCATGCGCGCTTCCCGCACCTTGCTCATAGGAAGGTGTAGATGTTGACAGCTGCATGAAGAAGACAAGTTGGATAGGACATCTGCAAAGTTTACCATTTTTTCCTTCGCATTTTCACATATAGTTTTACTCATGCTGTTCAAACCTTTAGCACCTAATATTTAGCGAGCCTAGCAGGACTTGGTCTGGACATGGATTGGATCGCTCTTGGACCACACCACTTCGCATCATATGTACATGACAACACATGCGACACTCATGCGCTTTCTCATGCCTAGTGCACGTGCGCTTTCCCGCGCTTCACACCATACATGCACGTCTCACTAACGCTTCGCGCGCCACATCCATATTGCCCTTGCATCATCACCCCACACCCATGGTGCACTATTCACATCAGAGTCACCCTCGCAATTCACCATGCTATGCGCATTCTCGCGCCTTGTGCATGTGCGCGCATTCCCACGCCTTCGCACCTCGCGTGCGCCTGCGCCTTCCCATGCTTCGCACATCACGCAATAATTCCTGCACTCGCACATTCATCACCCAACAACCCAAGCATTGTACATGCATCGCACGCGCATACTATCACTCAAGATCCTCACTACACATGCGCTGAGTGGACACTCAGAATTTAAAGTCCCTGGGAGATGTAGAGACTCATGCCTCTCATGGCATGATATGGCAGTTTCCACCAAGGAGTACATAGCATGAACTTGTAGTGTCACTCCGTGTGCTATCCGCAGCTATCCCTATACGAGGCGCAGCTTTCCCGCGCAATGCGTGCCATGCGTGCACCATTCGCGATGTATATGTGCGTGCGCTTTCCTGCGCTTGAGCGCCCTATAGCGCCAGCCATCCAGATGCATCCATCCACTGTCCTCCAAGTTCTCTAGTGCGTATATTTCTGTTTCTCTCATTTGTATATTGTTCCACTTTATTTTTATCATGGACCCTTACTTATATATATCTCTACATACCTACTCGGTAGTGCTTCGGCTCTGCATGACAGCGCTTAGGTACAGTATATAAGCGCCAGCATTACCTTACCACTCCTCACTTTCCATTTTACTTACCTTTTAACCCAACTTTACTTACATACTTAATACCTAGAAAGTCACAGTAGAAATCTATTCATTAGCACATCACATCTCACATCTCTTATCTTGCTTTATATCATCACTTAAGCTTAGTCTCTCATTTCCGCATACATGTGCGCACTTTCCTGCACTTCGCGCAATACGCGCGCGTGTTCCCGCGCCTTCGTGCCTTGCGCACACCTGTGCTTTCTCGCGCTTCGCTTCAGCGCGTACCTCTAGATCTTTGCTCCACTCGCTTCCCCTTTAGGGTCGAACGCACTTGTCTCCTCAAGTAACGCAGACTAGGCAACGCGCGACCTTACAACTATTTACAGATACAGTCAGGAGCATCATTTTTTCCTCTCAGTATTGTTGTTTCTACACCGGGTTTCAGGGTTCAGGGGTCCTGGAACTCGGAACTTGGTATGTGAGACAACAAAAATATATTTCAAACATGGGTAAGTCAATGTGTTTGTCAATCAACTTGATTGTAAATCAAATTTTATTGATCTCCCCAAATTTCCCAAGTTCCGAGTTCCGGGACCCCCCAACCCCGAACCCCGGCAGTCCACAATTTAGGGGTTCGGGGGTTGGTAAAATGTGTATGGATATATGAAAGGTTGATTTAAACATTTTTGAAAGATGTCTCATCAAATGTCAAGTCCTGAGTTTTGAATTCCTGGTTTCAGGACTCTGGGTTTCGGGACTCTGGGCTTCGGGTTTCGGAACTCCGGTGTAGAGACTCGTGCATCTCATAGTGTGATATGGCGCTTTACACTAGGGAGTATACAGCACCAACTCGCAGCATCACTCTGTGTACCATCCACAGTGATTCCTATATGACGCGTAGCTTTCCCGCGCAACGCGCGCCATGCGCGCACCATTCCCGCGCTTCACGATGTATACGCGCGCGCGCGTTCCCGCGCTTGCGCGCCCTATAGCGCCAGCCATCCAGATGCATCCATCCACTGTCCACCAAGCTCCCTAGTGCGTATATTTCCATTTCCTTTATTAGCATAGTTCCACCTTTATTTTTATCATAGTTTCTCACTCATATATATTTTTACATACCTACTCGGTAGCGCTTCGGCTCCGCATGAGCGCGCTTAGGCGCGCTATATAAGCGCCAGCAGTACATACTATTATGGACCTTACTTTTCACCCAACTTTACCTAGTACTTACTACTTAGAAAGTCGCAGTAGAAATCTATTCATTAGCACAACACATCTCACATCCTTTATCTTGCTTATATCTTCACATAAGTTTAGTCTCTCTTATTTCCGCTTACACGTGCGCGCTTTCCCGCGCTTCGCGCTAATACGCGCGCGTGTTCCCGCGCCCTCGTACCTTGCGCGCACCTGCGCTTTCTCGCGCTTCGCTGAAGCGCGTACCTCTAGATCTCCGCTGCACCTGCTTCCCCTTTAGGGTCGAATGCACTTGCCATCTCAAGTATCGCAGACTAGGCAACGCACGACCTACAACTTTTTAGATACAGTCAGGAGCATTTCTTTGTTCCTCTCAGTATTGTTGTTTCTACACCGGGTTTCAGGACTCCGGGTTTCGGGACTCGGCACTTCCGAAACCCAGAAATCGAAACTCGGGACTTGACATTTCATATGCAACATCTTTCAAAAATGTTTAAATCAACCTTCCATATATCCATACACATTTTACCAACCCCTGAACCCTGAAATTGTGGACTGCCGGGTTTCAGGGTTCAGGGGTCCCGGAACTTGGAACTCGGGATGTGAGACAACAAAAATATATTTCAAACATGGGTAAGTCAATGTGTTTGTCAATCAACTTGATTGTAAATCAAACTTCATTGATCTCCCCAAATTTCCCAAGTTCCGAGTTCCAGGACCCCTGAACCCCGAAACCCAGCAGTCCACAATTTAGGGGTTCGGGGGTTGGTAAAATGTGTATGGATATATGAAAGGTTGATTTAAACATTTTTGAAAGATGTCTCATCAAATGTCAAGTCCTGAGTTTCGATTTCCGGGTTTCAGAACTCCGGGTTTTGGGACTTGGCACTCCCGAAACCCGGAGGGCTTTAGATTCAGTGGTCGATGGTAGGTATATGCACTCATAGTGTACATGTATCCTATGTCTTTGATTTGCTGGTGGCTACATCGGCTGTATGTCTTGATGAAATGTATCTAGGCTCACCCATATATGTACCCATCTATGTACAATTCCCCCATGTCAGCCCACCCATCTATGTAATACATCCTATGTTGGCCCACCCATCTATATAATACATCCGACATCAGCCCACCCGTCTATATAATTATACCCCACCTTGGCCCACCTGTCTATGTAATAAATATTTTATTGCATCCTCGGCCCACCCGTCTATTTGATATCCCTTTTGTCGGCCCACTCATATATGTAATACTTTCCATGTCGGCCCACCTGTATATGTAATACACCCCACATCAGCACACCCATCTATGTAATATTCCCCTACCTCGGCCCACCCATATATGTAGTACACCCCTGTTAGCCCGCCCGTCTATATAACAATATTTGCCTTACATCTCTCTTCAGCCCAGCTGTCTATAATATCCTACTCTACATATCACCCAGATGGGCCCACCCATCTCCATGAATGATCACATTCCCCCGGCCCATCCCTCAACATCAAGGATATATATATGTATCATTGGCATACATGGGCCCACCCATCTCCATCGGAAATAATATGTGTCCTGGCCCATCCGTCATCATCGAGAATATACACAACATGGGCCCATAATCCGCTGGCCCGTATAATACAGAATTTGTCACTGAAGGGGCTCAAAGATCTGAATCCTCCCATTCGTGCTAATAATCAGTGGTCATGCGCAAAGATGGGTATTAATCACCTGCAGCTCGCCAGGATGCTCTGCCCTGTGAAGCACTTGGGTGAATATTTGAAAGATCCTATAGCATAAGTACTCTCCACCATTGGTTGAAGCTACTGATGGTTGTGATCAGAACACGCCAAAAGTTGGAAAACGGTGATATCAAGATGCGCGCATTGGTCTGGCTGGCCCTGGTATACTCTGGTAAGATCGCTGGGGAACATTTCAACCCTCAGCTGGTGCAGAACAGGCTATTTGAAGGATACCTTCTCGAGCAAGTGAGTGATTTTTTATTAGACCGGTTGATCTTCAAGTATGCATCAAACCTGTCTCTCTCAGGTGATGAGGCATATCTTCACAGGACCATCCTCTGATCTTTGCGCAGACAGTGAATCTGTTGGGACGTGTCCATGTAATGCACGTCTCCATAATATGATGGAGGTAGAAGCTGAGAATATTGCATATGGTGTGATTCAGATACGTCTTTCAATACACTTACTTTTTACATTTTAACTACTACTCAATGTCCTTATACAGAGCCGTTTCGCCATCGGTTTGTGCAACAAGTGGAAGGAAGAAGACAGCACTTACAATTACCGAGATGTGTACTATCAGATCATTTTGACAATCTGTGACGCCACAGACCCTAGTTGGGCAAAGGCACTGCATGAACATTGGAACCTGTATGTATTAACTTCTTTAATGAGCAGTATCTAACATTGAGCTTCATAGCAAATTGTTCAAAAACAAACTTGGGCTTCGCGCCTCATCTTCCATGAACACCACCGATGACAATGACAATGACAACTTCACTCTAATGCGAAAGCAGTATGAGCAGAGGCTTGCAGATGAAGCCACTTTGCAGATGGTTTCTTTGGATTCTGGTCCTGGAGAGGAGCTACCTACTCCACTGAAGAGTCCATCTGTTCCTGTCACTGCATCTGATGGCGCTAAATCTAGCACGAGTCTGCCACCTGAGATTCTGCCTCCCAGCCCAGATCCAAAGCCTCAGGAATCTGCAACATCTGAGAAGCCCAAGGAGCAGGTAGTATCTGCTAAGGAACCAGCCATTAATGATTTCAGTGATCTTAGTGAGCCTGATGAACTCGATGAAGAACCCCAGCCACCAAAGTCCAAAGCCAAGAGGGGCCATATTCGTAAGGCTGTTGTACAATCGCCATTACCAGCACCAAAGAAGGCCAAGACAAGCCACAAGAAGAAATGAACAGTCATGATCGCTTACTTTTGTAGGTCACCACATGCTTTGCTTACTGTCATTGTGCTGACCAGCACAATATTCACATTTCAGGCTCACACACCATTCCATCTCGTTGTATCATGTCTCTTCGCATCAAGGTCTTCACAGTGCTGTCCATGTCTTCGTTGTTTTCGCTGTGTCTTCGCATCGACACTTTCACACTGACTTCTGTCCATTTCATCATTTGTTGTACTACTACCAGGATCCAGGATTACTCATGTTTCTGACTGCAACTTTCCTCTGTTGTAACTCACCACACGTTTTACAGTACAATCAGGACCTTACTCATAGCTAATGCCATGTAATATGATAGCAAATTGACATCCATTTAGCATGACATATCAGTGTGATAACCAGATAGAACAATGAAAATGGCTTAGCAGGACATATCAGCATGATACATGGCTAGCAGCTGAGGAATGATCAGCAGTTGAGCAGCACATTAGCGAAACAAAATGAACCTAGGTATGACCAGATAAGCGAACCCTGGGACCTGATACGCCTGCTGTCCCTTAGAGGCCTTCTAAGGGCTGATGCAACCTTAGATTAACATCTCTGGAATGGGAGATTTTGGTGATGTCAGGCATGGTTAGACATGATGGTATCTCACAATGGTTTGGGCATTACAAGTTGGCAGCTAATATGTCATTTCACAATTAGCATTTTCACATCAAGTGTGTCCCATACGCCCTCTGACAAAAAGCATGCAGTAAATCATCTTTCACTGTCGGTAACAGTATTTTGCATTGATGCTCATCATTCTGGTCCAGTCTTCTGCATTCTTATGTAGGAGTAAGCCTGTGGTATTCTCAACTGGCTTGTTAGTGGAGGATGATGCAAGACATTCTGATTCATTCTGAATCGCAGAGATGTGGTAGGTATGGGCTAACACAGCAAAATTTTAGTGTGTCCATACTTATCTCTCTTTCTGATCTACTTCGGGATACCATATCAATCCCACAATACTCCTTGCAGAGCATCACCTGACAATTATTGATTACTTCCATTATTGAAAGTGCTATACATTACTACTAGTCGACTCTTGGGCACATTTATGGAAGATAATTGTAGCCATGGCGATCCCTGCATTGGAGTTAGCTACAAGCTTAGCATGATATTTTCAAACACTGAGGATGAGGTGTGGTCCCAATATAAACATCTGTACAAGTGAGAAAATTTAGAGAACACCGCCATAAGTCTGAGTACCCACATTAGTTGGGTCCTATGAAAATGATGAATGGTGGTCGCATGCAGATCGGTAACAGATCAGCTTACCGAAATTGCTGGAGACAAATAGCCAAGTTGGAGGCAAGACACAGTAGCAAAGCTAGCACATGCATGACTTCAGCGCTGAAGGACAACCCCAATCAAAATATAAGCTAACCTTGCAAAGTAAAGCACATGTGTTTTTACTAACACTGCAAAGCAGTCTCCGATTGTCCATCTCGTCCATGGTTGGTGCAGTTCATGGAAGTGTTTTACAGCACTCCAAAGTACAAAGTACAGCATGAGGACCTCCCATGCAGTGCTGAGTAACCAATACTCAGCCACCAGATGTATATTTCCCCCAATGAGACACTGATGGGTGCCAGGGAGGATAAGGTCCTCTGGTATTTGTCACATGAGTTTGATTCACTTCAATCTTTCGTGAATAACCTTACCACCTAAGATTTGGTAGGTTTCTATCACAACAATCACTCCACAGGCAATTGTGATAGCGAGAAAGATCACAATAAGAAAGATGAGCACCTTTCTCAATTGCTGATGCATGGCAAATAGCCGAGTGATCATGATGACTTGCATCATGTCTCAGTTAAGTTAATATCACTGAGGTATTGTAGATGAGTCGCTCACCACCTAGCATGTCATTGACGACAAAACCTGTACACCATAATGCAGAGTTGATAATTTCACCTGAGAAAAATCATGAGCCCAAAGAACTACAAAATGCATATCAACTCACAGCTATGACACTCGTTATATTGAATCAACAACTTAGTCAAGAATCTTACTCACCCCTACATCAGAAAGCAGTTGGTGTGTGAGAATGACAGGCATTGGCACAAAATACTTACCTTATTAGTCACCAAGTCTGACGGAAGAATTTCTGGATGGCAGTGGATGCCCAAAGTTAGAAGAAAGACATGCGATGGGCATTAGACATACAGAACACAAAACACTGATTGTGAAAGATCGATCAGAAGTACGGCACCAACTTATTAGTAGACAAACATACACAGCATACAACACTCCAATGTAGTGCAGCTAGAAGACTTTGAAGTAAGCACAGTGCTTATAACAAGGCCAAGCTACATATACAGAGAAAAAGAGCAGTCATGAATGACCAGTGTTGCCTCTGCCCAGAATTAATTGTATTGCTCTGTTGCTGTTGTGATTGGGAGCTTGCTTACCCAAACCAGGTCAACCTAGTATAAGACCTTTCCTAGTGAGATAGCTGCTCAGTAATTGCGGCAACCTACCGCTTGTCCAAATGTCAGTGCTGGAAACATCTTTCAGTGGTCCTGTCTAGTTCTTCAGCATTATATTCCTCACCCCAGTCGTATGCAGCTACAACAGAAGAGGCAGCTATGAAACAGACAGATTAGATTAGGTATCACTGACACTGTCCAATCATCTGTCCACACACCTATATAATCAGTATAATCACGATTCAAACTGACCAGCATCCACTAACTGGGATCTGATGACATATTGGAGAAAATTAGATGATGTGTCAGAGTGAATGGTGAACTTGGTGAATATATACTGTCATCTAGTGCCTGTATTATTTATGATTTATATGTGTGACACATCATGCACTAACCTCGAATTGGATATTTGTTCCTTGGCTTCAACCAAAGCCAGAATACTACTGAGTCTGAGTCAAGTTAGACCCGGAAAGAGGAAGTTACTCCAGGATTGCCCAATTGACCTCCCAGAGATCTGCAAAGCTGTGTTTCATGCATGGAGTATTTGACCACCCTTGTTTGTAATCATGTCCAGAACTCTTACTCATGCGGGAAGCACAAGTTCTCATCCAAGAACCTTGAGGTCTTTTAGATAAGACATTATCTTGGCATGATGCCAGAATGAAAGGACTTTTCCAAATGCAGCAGTTCAACAGATGAGTCACCTCTCCCATTAAACTCTACATCATGTATACCTCATGCCCGCTTCTTGCCCTCACCTTCTGCCTCCATTGTCAAGCTATAATTAAGGCCGTTATAAAATGCAAAGTACAATAAAGGGTGTAACTGATGGGAAATGCACTGTACTTGAAACTTCAAGTTGAGGCCGAGACTACCCCTACCTTTAAATGAAAGAAGTCATATCACACAGGCCCACCAGGTTTCTGTGACACTGAATTGTACCAGTGACATGATGTCGCACGATAATAATGAAAGAACCAACTAGTACTTGCTGGTTCATCAGTCCATATAAGTACTAGCTACTTTGCAGTAACCTTGTAGAATATGTATCAAACAATGACTTGGTGCTTCAGCTGCACAGTCACGAAGATGACGCATAACTGTACTCAGCCCTGGATTGACCTAGTAAGCAACATATCATATAATGATTAGTTTTGACACTTGTTAGATAAAAGCTGAGCGCTGAAATGCTGATGCACTTGGTAACTCAAGAGGCTCATCAATGATAACAATAAAACTCCTCCAGGACACACCGAAACATTTTGGTCCATTATGTCATATGGCATCTATCAGCGGATGCTCACTTGTTTAAATCCTGGCTCAAGGCTACAGGTATAGAACTTGAAGTGGTAGGAAACATGTAGGAGAGATGACTGGACTCTGGAGGGACAGTGAGTGAAACTGAAATGTGGGGCATAGTGTTGTCTCTGGATGGGAAGAAAATGGTTGGTGGTTGTTTGGAGGGTGCATGCAGTGGGACATACATATGCAAAGTCATTGCAAAATGGACATGACCCAAAACAGTCTGGCCTGTCTGCTAGATGACTAGCACTAGTAGCAAGCAGACTTCACGATGAGACTACAAGATAGGGAGACATTGATTCAAAAAGAAAGGTTACAGTCGTATACTTGCCTGACACAATCATGTTTGTGATCACTGGATACCACCCTTCATCTCCCTATAATTATAACAAGTCCCAAGTCAAATCCAGGTCTGGGATCATGATGTGAAGATTGGTGTTTTGCCCTGCTTGGACCCAGACCCTTATAGACTCCGGGTCAGTTGATTACTAGTACTAAAATTTTAGGACTTTGAACACTACAACCTTTGAAAGCAGATCACCATGCGACTGGAAGGGACACACCACTATTAGTGTCTACTCCTTTGCAATATCGTGGCTACATCCTTGCAAGCACATCAGAAGACAAGTGTGGAACATCGACAGTGGCCAGCCCACCATGACCAAGTTTGCTCCTCCACAATGTAAGAATAGTGGTATACGTGTCTTTTTCGGCAGATGGAAAGCTAGCCATTATCTGCTGGGAGTCTAGGACCATAACACATGCATGCCAGTAGGATGTGTCTGCAACAGTAAACCTTGATGACCTTCTGTTGGATATCAATGTGAGTTGACAGACAGATCTCATTGTACTTCATTCTCACCATGATACCTCAACAGTGAACACTGTGCTCTTCCAGGACAACAATGTCAGAATTTTGTGAACGAATCTCATTGCATTTAAATAATCTTAGGCTAACACTATATGGCCTCTTGTCCAGCTACTCAGTGTTTTATATCCAGTATCTCGAGGTTTTTTGACACCCCATCATCCTCAGATATTCCATGAATGTCTCATGCTATATTTCCTCACCTCATGTTCTCAGTTTTTGGTATGATCCAAGGCTCATGATTAGTGATGTCACAGCTTGGCTAGGGCTGGCTAGGGCTCAGCTCTTACCAATTTCCCAGCAGTTTAGCTGTTCCTATGAACCAAGTCACTCATGTGCGGCTTAGTCTGGCTCACAAGTTTGGCCTG